TCTTAAAACGGGAGGATGACACACGGGGTACGAACATACATCCAAAGTTTCAGCCTCCCAGCTTTCATGGTTTCTGAGATGAAAGTGGGTGACAAAATGCACTCGCTTTCCGAACACACACACCTACACATACACACACAGACAGCCTCTCGACAACATGCTTTTTTGCTGGCTGTAGCAGCGCTATAGCTGCACAGCAAAAACGCATAAATGGACTAAACTGATTACGCGATGGAAAATATTGTAACTTGAAGAATACAAACGCAATAAGGATGCCAAAAAATGAAACCAAGACATACCACCGGCAGTAGCTGCAGCTGCGCTATTATTACCATTATCAGGATGATTTCGAGAGGAGTTTGGTGCGCCGGGACAAGGTGAAAACGGATTAATTTTATACAGAAAGCACAGATTACATACACGCACCTAAAAAATATCAATTTGTCTATTTAAAAAGAAAGCGGAAATTAAGCAATCAATTATCACTGCTCCATGCAATCCACCAAACACACAGCCGCTTCCTAATGCATCTTCGGTGACTCTTTTCGGGATCCGGTATCACCTGGCACAGGTACATTGCTTTTGATGCTTATATGGTGCTTTAGACGTATACAACGGTCAACACAAAAAAGGGCCTAGAATTTTAATTAAAACAGCAAAAGAAGACATCAGGGAAAACAAATGCTGTGATCAACAGCACCCTCTCCATTCAGCCCGTACAACCGCAGAGACACTGCCAAATGCGTTAGCGCTGAAAAGGTGCGCAGCAATAAAAAAGTAACTCCGACATGTTATAAAATACTGACTAAAAGTGACTAGAATATACAGAAGATCAAATAAACAACACACCTTTCTGTCATAGCCTAATTCCGGAAGCGGCAATGAATTGGAAGAGCAACGGGAGCAGAAAATCCGTCCACAATTGCGGCAGTGGTGACGGCGGCGGACCAGGGTGAATGGAGCACTACAGGCGGTGCACTGCTCGCAATCACTGTCGGGCACCCATCGAACACCTGCAAACAGAAAAACAAAATCACCACCGTGCATAATTCTTCTGCATAAAACAAATCGGAGTATGACAAACAACTTCCACTGCACCCACAAAACCTAAAGTCATCCGCACAGTTCTGATCGATGCAACTGACGCAAAAATGCAATGGCAAATGAATACATTCAAACGTACAGTGTCACTATGCCATGCCTTTTTGTCCTAAGCTGCATATTTTCGACTAACATCCACTGCCTATACTACTTACACACAACTTCCCTCTGAAGGCTGATTTTGCAAGGATTTTTTCGCTGATATTTCTCACTGATATGCGACGTTCATCGATCGCCAGTAAATAGGCAATAAATCCTGCTTATCGGATTATACAGTTTCGATCGCAACGATACTGTACGAGACAATCAATTTGACACTGAGCCTGATTGTTCACAGAGCGATACTAACCAACAAATGATGGCAGTGGAAGCGCTTCTTGCACTTCAACGCCAGTCTCTTCTTCATTTTCCGGATTCGGCGCTGTTTTACCCGGTATCTGCAACACATCTTCATGACAGAAACGCCGAAATAGCAATAAAAAATGAATTACTAACTATCCCAAAAAAAAAAATTCCTTCAAAAACAAAAAATTCCTAAATAACCTAAAAAAATAAGCCTAACAGGATGCCGATGAAAGAAAAAAACAATCAAATACAAAACCAGCTCATAAACAGGTTGGAAAAATGAGACAATGAAAAGGACGAAGAAAAAAAATGAAAAGTCGCTTTAATAAAAGAAGTAATTAATTCACCGGAAGGAGCACGAAACACATAATGTAATAAAATTGTGTTTAGGGTCAAACTGTATTCAATGTAACAAAATTGTGTAAAATTGTGTTAGGATTTTGTCCAAACTCAAAAATTTTCACAAACATTCACTCCCCCATATAGTGGTAAATGTTACTCAGCTCCGCTAGGATTCAGTACAAATAGCTACCAACTTTTGCGACTTAACAGCTGCCTGTGCATAAGTGTTATATGTACGTATACACAGATGTATGTGTGTAGACAAAATGCAGTGATCGGTAATAATTCAGTAAAAGTCAATCCTCTGATGCAGATACCAAATAAATATTATCGGCTGAGAAACAAGACGCTGGAACTTCCGCAACTTTTACGCTTCAATTCACTTCCTCATATAGAAAACTGCTGATCAAGCCGAATAAATCGACAACGCCATGGCGCAAAAAATGTACCTCATAAACGGGCACAACATCAACTGGTTGCAGGACCATTTTGAGAACGCGACGCAAATCGGCTGGATAATTTGTCTGCAGCTGATCGGCAACACCGCTTATGCACACAAACAATCGATGGATAAGATCCGCAGAGGAATGAAAACGAGCACGTAAACGACGCGGATCTGGCGGACGTGTCGCACTGAAGCAGTTTTCTATATTGATATTTGCCTAATTTGATAAATGAAACAGCCGACTGACCGACTGATTAAATGGATAATTAAACCTTCGACAGGAAATGATGATCTGCAGGAAAACTAAAAATTACGATCTCAAAACCATCTGTGAGTCGAGGAAAGCTCACTCCTTCCATCTAAGCGATTCCTCAACCAACAGGGAACAACGCAACATGTTCACAGTGTAGAACAGAAAATAGGAGGATCAGCTGGTGCCAACTGCGTTAACTAATATACGTACACGGAGGTAAACTAGAATGCTCAGCCTCTACAAATGAACATCAATGCTGCTGCAAATGAGCATAAGTAAGAAACTGTTGCTTTCATCATTCTGTGAAGCATCTATGAGCTTATCTCCTTCCTTTCCTCTCCGGCTCTCCCTTCCTCATTC